TTACGGTTTCAGGATACGGATTCCCCCCAAGCCACTGACGACATTTTGCGTTCGACAGCCAACGACCATGGTGGTGCGGAAACGGGGGACAACAACCACAGACGCGTCTTTTGTTTGCTTTGACAGGCGGCCCCACCATCTCTTACGGTATTTCACATGTTCATGTTTATGCCACTGTGTGTGTGTGTTTTTGTGTGTGTGTGTGTTAGGCAGAGGGAGTGTGTTTTAGGCAGGACTATTTGGCTGTTTTGGCATTGGCGGCTACAGATTTGCTCGCCGGGGCACTAAACTTTTATTTCTTAAATCTGTGAATCGTTTGTGCGCCTCCTCCGCTCAAAGTCAATATGCGGGCGCAAATGTACGAAATGATGAGACAGAGCTGCCGAAGGGAAGCCAAATACACTGAGAGAAATACTATTGGAAACACCACTATACTATTCCATACTGTATACCTTACTGTGTACCTTATATACCTAATGAATACTATTCCTTTCCATAACTATAGAAGACTATAAGAAATAAAGATGGATCCAGATCCTTATGAAAAGATACTATTTTATTTATCAAAAAATCAAAAACCTTTATAATTTTCTCTCACTGTTTCCGAATGGGCCTCTGGTTATTCCAGAGCTCCAGTGTTTCCTGTTTTTTGAAAATCGGTTTTTGTTGATGCCATTGCCAGTGCCAGTTGTTTAGCTCCCGACAGCCCACTCCCCTCTTGGTGCTGGATGCCCCTGGATAACCACATCCCATCCACTGACGGACTGAGCTTCTGTCCGGCACACAAAACGACAAACGACAACTGAAGTGGAGTTTTGTTTGTTGTCCGTTTGTCAATTACAAAACTTTTATTGCAATTTACTTTTGTTTCAAGCTCGCAGCAGTCACTTTTACACGAAGGCCCTAACGCGGCCCACTCTACCGCCCCCTTTGAGGTCGTTTCGATTGCCGTTCGTTGACAATTTCGTTGTTCGCCTCGGTTCAAGTATTTAATATAGCACTCGATGAAGTAATATCCATTCGCTTGTTTGATGAATTGTAACTGCCCGATGTCAACGATGTTTGTTTAGGTTCGGGACTCGGCAAGTGGAATGGAATGGTCGGGATTGGTAATTGAAGTTTCATGTCGGATAGATTAGATTTGTGCAATCTATACAAATTATGGGATTTAAGTAAAATGGAACTGACAGATTTTGTCAGTGCATGGATTTGCATAGCCCTGGATCCAAAAAGGCCAAAGAAATGGCCAGTCAGACAGTTGGACATTCGACTTAAAATTAACAGGTTTTTTTCTTCTGTTTACAGGAAGGACCCCCAAAGGAATACACAACAATCGAAGCGCTAATTTGACAAAACCCACATGAGGTCCTTTGACTCTCTTCAAGCACCTCCATCCCCACACCCGTCTGTAAACCGAACGGGCTCCAGGAACGCGCATTTAACGGGCACCACAGGAGGCTGCGGTAATTTGCAAGAGGTCCTGGCTAGCCAGAGGTCCTGGCCCAGACACACACAATCCCTATACAATCAAATCGAAATGAAATTGACCATTAATGTGTGGGGCAGGTACACACCGGTATGTGCTCTCGGGGTGGTTATGAGGGAGGTCCTGTACATGCTATATGTATAAGCAACGGATTGAATAACCTCATGGAATGCCCCAGAGTTCCTTGCCATTGACAGCTATTGTGAATGATGTTGACAAATGAGCGATTGTAAGCAGGATATCGGGGTGGGAAGACTGCACTAGATACTTCAAGCGTTCATGGATGTTATCCTGTGGGGCTCACCTGCGTCGCATAAAGCGATGAAGAATGCCGACTAATGCCGCATCAATTATGGGCTAGGTCTTTGCATTTATGCCTAAATTAAAAGTCTAATAAATTAATCGTGACAAACAGGTAAACTCCAAAATAAAAAGTTTCTCCCAACAAATCATCTGGAGTTTTCGCGAGGCATTTCACGGCATTTGGCAAACTCATTAAAAACTTTCTCCATCGCGATGCGAGCAAAATGAGGAACAAAAAATGTCAATACAGTGGGAACTCAAACAAAAACCAACCAGTTCCCACCTGCATAATTTTTTGGGAAAACATTTTCAAAAAAACTCGCAGAGCACTCTTTCCATTTTCTGTTTGTTCTTTTCGCTTCAAACCAAGAAGAGCAAGAAGTACGCGGGCAAACATTTTTTTAGCGCATTTAATTAATTAGTCGGAAAGTTTTTTCCCAACCCTTTTGCTTATTTTCATATTCTTATTGCTTATTTCCCGGAAAGTTAGCCGTTCATCACCGGGATCATCATCCGTCCCGGGAGCGAGCTCATTATCCCTTTCCCAGCAGGACTCGCAGGACTTATTATCTCGTCAGCGATAGCGGAACTCCTTCGACGGTTCGTCTGGAGCCAATACTCGCTTAAATATTCATGCAGCCGCCAAGGTAAGGATAGCTCCTGTCTAACACCCCCTGAAATATTCATAAAATACTTAATTAATTGATTAATGGCCCGAAAAGTTGGGAGTTTACCCAAAACGCTAAGCAAGCTATCCGCCCGGGGGACTCGCGCGATTGTTGGCCACAAACTTTGGCTACAACTTTAGATTTTAATACAAAATTTATGATCTTGAATTGGGAGCTTCTATCACTCTTTTCAGTTTATTCCCCAGAGGATCTGGTTTCCACACTCACCGCTTACCCACATCCCGGCTGTCAGCTATACTCTACAGCTTGCTGGCATATCCTTTGTAATTATACACATACACATCCTGTTGCCTCCGTGCTGATAGCCCTGCAAATAGCAACAATGGGCGCCACCCACTTCTGGTTCCGGTCGGCAGACCCCAGTAACAATGTCACGCACACATATTTCCTGTCACTCTAGCGTTTATTTCCTCACTTCCACTCCTGCCTTCCACTTTTTTTTTATCGCATCCTTGTTAACACGTGCGTTTCAGCCCCTAGTGTTGCAATTTACACACAACAAAAAAAGCATAAAATATATAGCTTATTTACAAATTAGAAACGATGGCACCATATTCTTCCGGTGTACTCCGGCGAGCCCTCGAGGTTTATCAGCTGGACAGGATCTCGGTTGCATGGCCATGGCTAGCCGAAAACCTAATCCTGGCTCAAAGTCCCAGTACTCGTGGCATGTGTAAAGAACAATAATATAATTATATGTCGGCATGACATGTTACGTGCAAATGTCGTTTTGAGAAATTTTAACACATTCGCCACTCCCCCTCGGACTTGTAATCCAATCCCTAAATGTGGGAGCCTGAAGAAAAAGTCTGGCTCCCCCAATCTCCCAATATTAAACTCTCATCTCTCAGCCCCAACAATGGGGCTTGTGCGGCACTATTTTTGGCTCGTTTTTGGTAATTACAAGTCCTGATGCCCGGAATTTGTAATCAAAAATGCCACAAAAGCCACCGAACGAGAAAACTAATAATAAAACGCTTAATAAATCGTCGATCAAAGGCCAAGGAGCCGCTGCAACTTCCACATGCAGCCGGGATGGGCCAGAGTTGGTGGAAACTCTATGATATATGGATAAAAGCCAGACAGTTTTCGGGGAACAAGGGGCGAGAGAGCCACGAAAACTATTCAAGCCCGCAACTCTGGTTTGGTCAAAACCGACAAAAAATTCTAATAAATTCCAGAAAAGTTTTTCTTTTTTTTTTATTTCAAAGGAATTTGCGAGTTTTATGAAACTTAACACACATACTGGTAATTGAAAGATAGAATGGCGCCACGCCTAATTTAATTAGCCATTAAAAAGCTGTCTGCTGGCGAATTAAAGCCAACCAGCCAGCCAGCCAGACAGGACACAACATTGTTGTGTGTCAGGGGGAAGGCCGAGATAATATCGTAATCAAAATACCAAATGCATTTTTTATCGAGTTAGTCTCTCGAAGCTACAAGCAGTCACATCCGCCGGTGGCAATTGCATTCATCCTTCAACAAATTAAAACAAAGTTATGTGCCACTGCAACACATTTTTTTCTGGCCGTAACACAGACTGGCTGTAAAAAAATTTCCATTTCATTGCAGCTGTAAATGCGTTGGGTTGATGGCCATAACAAGTTTTTTCATTGCTGATGTAATAACACCATAGTTACTGCAAAAAGTTATCTTTAAGATTTGTTTTCACAGGATTATCTGAGTGAGGAATTGGACTAAAGGGCTAAGGGTTAACTGATGACTGAACAAAATGTAAAAAAAAAACAATCCTTTCGACAATGCCTACGCGAGATTTCGAATGAAATCGAAAAACAAATCGATGAGCCAAATTACGCATACGACACGTGTGCCGTGATATTTTTTATTTATTCACCTCTCCCCCTCCCCGTCCCAATGCCACTGCCTCTGGCGATTTTCGTGACTGTAAACTAAATTTGGAATTGTTCAAGTAATTTAAGCAATTTTCGAAAACAAAGAAAACAATTTGCCAAACAAATTACAAGCAATTTGGAAGCGGAGGCTTTCAATCAATTGAACCTTTCAATTGTCTCTGCTTCTCCAGCTAGTTTCTGAGTAAAAATACACACATGACTTGGAATACGGGCAGGGATATATATGGATGCATCCTGTGTGACTCGTCTCTGCCCTTTGTGAGCTGTCATCTTGCATTTTTAATCCACGGGAGCCTTGACCCCATGACGTTGACAATTTTTCATATGCAAATGGCTTGGAAGCGGGTTACTGGCGAAAAGAAGGAGGCCCCCGGAAGGAGGGACTACAGTCTGCAGATGGGCAGGTGAAAAGAAAGCCGGCAGGATTCTCTCCTTAATTGTTTTCCTCCGCCACCCCACCACTTCTCCACCCCAGACGGAAAGAACTTAAGCGTCATATTGAGCGGATAAAAGGCAACGTCGTGTATTCCGTTCTCATCATTGTCCTTTTTGGGAGGACAAGAGGCATTAAAAGAGGAATACGTATGTAATTCCTTTGAGAAATACGAGGGATATGATGGATAGAGTCCCCTCAGTGATAAACAATTATTTTCAAGATGCCAAACGCGAGTCTTTTGTATTTCCTCAATCCAACAAAATAAAAATGGGAGATGGTGTGTCTCACTGGAAGTACTTCTGCAGGATGCCCTGCTCGTAGAGGCGCTTTACATCCGTGCCACCACCGATGAACTTGCCGTCAATGAAGCACCTGGGCACCGTCCTCGCTCCGGTCATCTCGCCGAGCACCGCCTGGATCTCATTGCCGTCATCCCGCTGGTCCAGCTCCACCACGTAGGCCTTTACCTCCAGTTTCCGGAACTGCTCCTTGGCCATGCTGCAGTACGGGCAGTAGCTCTTGCTGAATATAACGACCTTGTTGTTCTGGATAATCTCGCGGACGAAGTTGCCCTGGGGACTGTCCATGGCAACGTAGAGGGTGGGACGCTGCAGGGAACTGATCACGGAACCCATGAATTGAGCCAAAGGAAGGCGATGTCAGCAGTATGAGCTCGGAGCTTACGAGGATCCGGTTAATTTTGAGCTAAAATTTATGACAGACTGTTTTTTGAGGCAAGGAAATGTCAGTAGCTCGTACAGTGATAGATTGCTTAGATATAAGTGGTGTGGGTTTTAACAAATTTACAACTCTATTTAAACAGTACTCCTAGAAACACGCAAAGCTCCCAAGCTCGCCTTACAAAATCGATTAAAATATCATTTAATTTTCAACAGAAGCCGCAGAACAACAGGCCAAAACTATTCCCCAGCTGTAACTGTGGTCCGTCATAAAGTCCTCTCTTTTGGACCAGAGGGCTTATGACACTTTCACGCATTCGGGCCCAAAAAGCCAACCGCAAAAACCGATGGCTCAGAGAACCGCAAAAGGCGAACCCTTTTACGGAAGTAATCGAGAATTGAGGAAGGCTGCTGAAGGATCTGCTGAGGGCGAGACTTACTAATGAACTGAACGCGTTTATTTATGCAAAAGTTGAGACCCCAACTAATGGGTCGAGGACATCAAAGACAGGACTATCTGTGCTGGCGTCTGGCCGGAGTTTAAATATTAAATAACCACCCATGGAGGGAGGATGGTGTCCTAGGTGGCACAGCTATGTGCAGACATGTGGATGCCAGAGAAATCCTTTTCATTAACGCGGTGCTTGTTGCTGACTTCCTGCCAGGATCTCCACCACCTCATACCAGCTCTCGCCCATGTATGTGAATGTGTCCGTGTCCTGGTCGTAAGTTTCCGTGTAACAATGTAATTTATTGTGCGCACCTTTGTTTTCAGTCAACACACACTCAACGGCTCCGTTTGGGTAATAAAACAATTTCTAGCCAAGAATGCACTGAGAAAATAGGAGTGAACAGTAATAGTTTTTTAAATATAAACATTTATAAATCAAACTTTAAAATCTGAGAAAAAACTGATTATTAAAATCAACTGTATTTGTTTAAATTTAAAATAGTTATTCCTTCCTTTACCTCCTAGAATTTTTTGTTTTGTGCATACATTGTCGCCAGGACATCACAGACACTAAAGGCACTCCTAAGTGGATTATCCTTCCTTCACTTACTTCAAAAAGTTTAGACCCCTCCACCCCATCCCTTAGTCACCTGTCCGAAAAAGCCAACTCATTATTGTTGTCTCGTCCTGTTCAATGGCCATCTGGCAACAATTTACACATATGTAAAGCGCTACTCCTTCGCCCATAATCATCCTTTATCCTTGCAAAATTTATCGCATGCTAGAAACACAGGTCCTTGCTCCGGCGACTGCGCTGTAGGTCCTTGCTCTCTCTCGGAATTTCTGCGAGAGGAATAATTGTTTTGGGAAATTTACTTAACAATCATTTTAAATTGTTCGCGGTTTTTGCCGAGGATTAGTACTTAATTTGATTAGGCCCATTCAAGTCCTGGGTGGAAGTTGACGCCTTTTTTATTGTTTTCTTGGCTGAGATAGCTCAGTTCCTGTGGGGAGGATATTAAAAAAATGTTATTTCAAAGGGTTTTAGTCTAGAAATAATAGTAAAAGGAGAGTTACTTAACTACAAGCTTAAACTTCACTGTTTGGTAGGTCATCCTCATTAGTTAATGCTACCCATTCAAGTCCTCACATCTGACTTCCAATGACCTTTTCGCCTTAGAACTCCCTTCTGCAATTAATCTAGTCCTCAATTCGAATCAATACTCAAACTCACACCTTACTCAGTACTCAGATCGATGGTCATTGTCCTTTGGAAGGAAGCTAAACCATGGGAATCCTCGCCCAAGCTATAGAGCTCGACGAACAATGCCTTTGTCTTCGAAGTCCTTCCTGCTAATTGCCGGCAATTTGTCTACGCAATTGCGTAATCCTCTCCCGCCCCTCCCTCTCGCCCAACTCCCCTTATCCTGCTGACAAATTAATTTCCAATCATTAACTCGACTCTGAAATGGCAACAGATACTAGATAGCGCCAAAGTCAAAGGGTTGTCGAGGGTGATTCCTCAATTGATCACCATTTAAATGTCGGTCATTTGTTGATGGGGGGAAGGGCCTCTAGGAGAAGGGAGAAAGCGTCATTCTGGCTAATTGGGTTAGGCAGCAAATGGGCCAGAAGTTGCCAGTGGAAAGTCGTTTAAACTGACACACAGAGAAATTATGTTTGAATTCCTAAAGAAGTCTTTATAATTTCTTTAAGTATAAGCTTTATTTCTTTACAAAATTATAGCCTTAAGTTTATTTTAATGTTCATAATTTTTTTGGCTTAGCAACCCTTTTGGTTTTAGCCTTTCCATTACCAACAGCCTGCCGCCATTCGCCAAAGTTTGTTATAAATTTCTTCATTAAATATTTTCTTTCTTAGTCCTCCCTGGGAACTGAAGGATTTCCACCCTCTCGGATATTAAATGAACTGCGTGTGCTGTAATTATTCATGTGGGGATATCCCTTTAGAGATTTTCCTGTCTCAGGAGAAGAACTTGGTGGAGAAGTTAGATTTGAAGACCTTTTTCCTATTCATAGTTCTTGTAGAAGCTCAGGTGAATTATAAAAGGAATATGATTTAAAATTATAATTGCCACACATATATTCTAGCCATAAGAAAGGCTTTTTCCTTTCAAGATAGTACTATGTCTTTCAACCCAAAGTTTTTTAGCTGCAGCTGTCCCAACTTAATCCCTGACAGGGAGGCCCACCAGGTCTGTCAGATACTCCTACAGTGTCTCTGTCCCAGCCCAAGTCATCAACTCAAGGCACATCCGTCCAATTAATCCAGTGCGTATCTGGGAAAAGGCAATCCAGCCGAGGAGTCTTCAAGCAAAAAGACACACCTGCACGCCTGCCAACGTTTCAGCAATTTTCCGCACAAATTCCAAAGACAACAACCTGTCTTTGTCGCTGTCTCTTTCGAGGGTCTTAGTTCCCGTCTCTTTCACCAGAAAGCCTAGCCTAGAAAATAAAAGGCAGACGCATGATCAAATGTCACAATCAATTTCAATTTGGCGCTCGAATTGAGCTTCGTTAGCGGCAACGGCTCCCAGCCAAAGAAAACGAACCTGACGAAAAGAGATAGGTGGCTGAGGAAAGAAAGAGATGGCAAGAAGGAGATGCCAAGAAGGAGAAGATACCAAAGCCACTTTTTCTAATCAACTAAGCCGAATAGGAAGCGCCTGTAATTTAACTAATTTGTGGCTGTGCGGCAGTGTATCTGCAGCTTGTTGCAATTGTCTCACGTTGAAAGAAACACTGCAACTGCAATTGCAGGCAAATAACTGGCCAAGAATAGAGTGGCACTATCTTATTTCTGTATATTATAAGAACCATTGAAGGAACTATCCTCCTATCAGCAATTATGCACTTTTGGTTGCATTCTTTAGTTGCCAAGAACAAAAAAAAAAGAGCTACCTCTCTGGTAACTTTCAACGCACTTTTTAGGTTGGTTTCTGGCATCTTTTGTTCCACGCCTGCTACAGTTGCCACCAAGTCCTCCTTTAGTCCTTTGTTTACCAATGTCTAGACGTGGCTGGTGACTTGGCTCGAACCACTGGCTGCGTGGGTTGTCCCTTTAAGCCATTGTGCAAGTTTTAATGCAAAAATTGTGAGTGCGGCTGATAAAATTGAATGCTAAACGCACAACTGGTTCGGCTGAAATTGGTTTTCTGAAAGTGTTTCATAACAAAAGGCCTTGCGAGAAGGATAACAATAATGCGTTGAACAAAGTTTTAATGAGTTTGATTTTTGGTCCTTTAAAATAAGCAGAAAGTCAATACTTTTGTTTAGAATAAGCTTCGCCACCGCCTATCTGGTCGTCTGCCAAAGAAATTAAGGATTGTAATTTCACTCTGGCAGGAGGATAAAAGTGGCTGCAACGGTCATTGGTTTGTTGGCTAACAGCGGCAAATTAAAAACTTTGCGTAAAATCCATTTTAACTTTTCAACAACTCATCGCGCAGTGGCAGCTTGGATCTGAAACAAAAAAATGCAGAAAAGGGCCCCCAATCTGAGTCTGACAGGCCAGCGTTTAATAAAGGCAATTGGAGTTGGGGCTTCAGAGGCGGAGTCATAGTCAGAGTCGGAACTATTGCAGTTGTAGCTGCTTCTGTGTTATGGCCCTGTCGACGGCCAGTTAACCAAAGTCAGTTAAAGCCAAAGACAAAGTTTTCGCACACTTCACGCTTGATTAAAGCAACTCTTTCTCCAACTCCCAAGCCCAGTCTCCAAGTGGGCTGGAGCCTGTGGCATTTGCCTGCAACTTCCCATCTAAATGTTCATTTGTTATGCTGTCGTCGGTCGCGATCATCTCCTCCGCTATATAGTCGCCATCATCATCGTCGTCGTAGTCATCCTCATCTGGCGAGCAGCCAACAAGTGTCTTCAAACACACACTTTGCCTCCACTTCACCCTGCCAGCTGCAGAAGAGGCGCCTCCAGCGATGTCTTCAAGTAGCTTGCAGCACACTGCTGAGCAGTTGGCCTTTTATTTTAATGGAGAAAACTAGCCAACATATAGATGGGGCTTCTGGAAGTAGGATACTTTAGTTATGGTCTATAAAAGGTGAATAACAGATAGCTTAAGCCTTACCTTTATCGTCGCTTTAACTTGCTCTATCCCTTATTATATGTGCAGGTCTAATACTTTATCTTAATATGTCTTAAGTCCCATGGGTTTATAGAGAGCATCTCAGTGACTCAGCCAGCTGCCGGATCTCCGCATGCAAATTGCCAGTGGCCGCAATGTTTTGATTTTATTCCCATTTTGATTATTTCGTTCGCTCCACTTACACTTGAACGGCGATGGCTCGTCTCTGGTCTTCTGCGTGGGATTTGAGGCCCCCAGTCTCTGGTTGGAGCAGTCTACTGGCTGGACTGGCCAGCTGTGAAGTGCAGTTGAAATGGCCCGGCGCGTGGGCTTTTCCAGCTTTTCCCAGTTGTTCGAGAAGTGCGTGACATGTGTTCTGGAGTGCCAGGACGGTAGTTAACTTATGGAAATGTAGCTAGCTACTCGACAGGGGCAAACTTTGTTTGATTGACTACCCGATGGCCATCAGAGAAGTGGTCTAGTCACGTCCCCAATAAAGATGGCATAACGTGTCCAATGGGAGACACTGTACGGGAATTCAATTTAAGGC